AAGTTCTGTTTAAATAATTTTTAAAATTCAAGACCCTACTACGCAGGTACCACGTCATGTAATAAAAAAACCTTGGAGCCAAATAGCAGTAGATCCCGACATTAATTTGAGCCAAGAGCTTAAATTTAAAAATTCTAAAATACTTAAAAAACAGTTAACAACAATAGAATAGTAACTATTATGTGAAAAGAGATATCTTATAATGGTTTATCTGATTGTTCAAACCTGGATTTTTTCATTCAATCAACTAAATTTTCTAAACTTTAAGCTCAAATATATTGGAGGCAGGTCCCAATACCATAAAACAGTCATTATTAAAATTGTTGTAACCATGGAGATGTTTGTAAATGTGTGAATTTTTGTCTTTCCTGTTGTGACAAGTTTAGGGTTAAAATTACGTACGAACACAATTTGACTAAATCATTCTACATTTCTCCCAAAACTCAATTTTTTTTATTTAACACGAGTTTAAAAAAATTAATATTATGTTATGTAACAGAGAAATGTTGAATTAACTAAAGACTTTTTTTTTTAATGTTTTAAAAAATTTATGCGTTGAAGAAATGTGTACGTACGCAGTGTAGGGGAAGGGGAGTTGAAAGCATCAGGTGCGTACAAGAGGTAACGGGTATCCTAAAACAGTAGTATTTATTGCATACCTTTATGGATAACCTTTTGCTAAAAATAGATATAAGAAAGTTTTTACTTAAAGAAATATTAGATTTTTTTTCTCCTTTTCCATGGTAAAAGAAATTGAATCATGTCTTTTATTAATATGTTCAAGAAATTGACATGCATCATTTTTTGGTGGTAATGCGGCAAAAAGGTCATTAACATCATGTTCCAATGTCTCAACTCCATTGGGCGCTTTTCATCACAAGAAGTTACAGAATTAATTGAAGAGCAAACAAACCTTTAGAGTTTGCAACTTTTGGGAAAGTCAATAAACACAAGTATCAATGAAATTCATTAGTTTTATTAACACTGATAAAATAAAATATATTTGCCAATATAATCCAAAAATAGTGGTAGTTGCCAAAATAACCCAAAAAATATATTTGCCAATATATTTCAAAAAATATATTTGCCAATATAGTCCAATAAAATTTCTCATAAAAAAGGCCTCAAAATGGTTTTTTTTTTTGTAATAATATCTTTTTCTTTTAAAGATATCTTAGCTAATCCCAAACAATGGTATTAGCTAAGATATTTTTATTCTAAAAAATATATCAGCTAATCCCAATGTTAAGGGATCAGCTGAGAAACCTTTACAATAAACATCACTTCTTAAAAGTTTAAATTTGAAAAATATTTGAATCAATGAATGCTGAAACGTTTTACCGGTCAAAACGGATTTTTAGGTATTTAAAAAATTTAAACACGAGCCTGATTTTTTTAACCTACCATAATATGATAATAAAAAAAACTATAAACAAAAAATAAATTTTAAAATTCTTTATTTTTTTTTTAAAAAAATTCTTTTATTTAAAAACAACTTATTTTTTATAATAGAAAGAATACTCTATATATGCAACCTCTCTATAAGCAACATGGTTTATAAGCAACCTCTATACAAGCAACTTCTTTTAGTTCTGATCTGTATAAGCAACTTTTAAAAAAATATTTGAGTTAAGTTTAGGCTAATTTAGAAGTAAAATCAGCTATTCACTACAACATAACCTCAAGTTATAAGAAACTATGTTATTGGAATATATTTGTATTTTGTACTGACAGTATTGAAGTAGATTTTTGTTAAATAGAGTAGTTTCTTGAATTCTCTTAGTTTCTGTTAATTAATAAATTAATTAGTTAATATTTTTGTGCTTTAACTTTAAGCATAAAATATGAATCAGAGGAAAAAAAACGTTTAACTTTGTTTAAATATATATATATATATATATATATATATATATATATATATATATATATATATATATATATATATATATATATATATATATATATATATATATATATATATATATATATATATATATATATATATATATATATATATATAATTGCGACGAAACTGGTCTTGTCTATAAAAACTTGCCCAATAATACTAACGTAACAAACTTTTTAAAAATCTGCTGCTGGAAGAAAAGCAATGAAGGAAAGAGTAACAATTATGCCATGCGTTAACGTTACAAGTATGCATAAATTAAATTTGAGGTATGATGCAATATGTAAATTGAATTCTCCTCATTGTTTTAAAAATTTGGGTTTGCCAGTATATTACAAATTATCCAAAAATGCTTGGCAAACTTATACACTTTTTAGCGACTCGTACAATCATATATTCATACCATCAGAAACTCGACTCTTGGAATCTGAAAACCTTTCCGTAAAAGCCCTTAATTTAGTAGATCATGCAACTTGCCATGGGTCTGAGATTAATTTTACTGGTCACTCGAATTTTAAAGTTATGTTTTTGCTCCTAATAACACACACAATTATTGCAACCACTAGATCAAAATGTGATAAAATCAAAATATGATCACAATGCTATCGCAAGTATCTACGTCTATATGTCTACGTCTATATGTCTTGCAGTCTTAGGTGCGTAAGATGGAATAGTTTCAGCACTTAAAAATATAAATTTTAAAAATATTGTTTAATGGTGCTGGCGTGGAATGAATATTCCATGTCAATTATACAAAACTCATTTAAACATCTTTTTTCGTCAAGTGATGAAATTCAATATAACATTCGTTCCGATCACTTTTCAGAAGAAGATGATATTTCCATGGCAAGATTGTATAACTCGTTATTTAATGATTTTTATTTAGAAGATACTGAAATTATGGAGTGGGCGAGTGGAACAAGTGAAGCAAATTATTCATTTAACCTTGAAGAAAATCCAGAAGTAGAAAGTGAAACTACTTCTGTTAAAAAAAAATGAAAAAACATCAATGGTGTTATAAATTTATTTAATTTTGTGATAGAATGGGCAAAAGAAAATGACTTACCCTGCAATGAGGTTCTTTTGTAACTAAAACAAGAGAAAAAGCTATCAAGAACAAATTTATGTAACTGTTTTTGTTTTTTTTAGCAATTAGTGTACCAAAAACTTATTAAGATTTGATTGTTTAATTATTTTTATAAAATTAATTACTGCGTTTTTACGATCATAAAATTTAAATACTTTCTTTTTTAAAATAAAATTGAGTTTATTTATTCTACACAGTTTATTTAGTAAAAGAAATAAGTAAAAATATTTTCCAGACGGTAAGTATTTTTATACTCCTTTTTTCCTTATTAGCACATTTTCCCAAAAAGAAACTTTTTTATTGAAATCGGTTCAAATGAGTTACTTATATAGAGCGTTCACTGTATTTTGAAATACATGTATGTTGTTATCTTAAAATGAGATAAACATTTAATGTCAAAAAAATAAAAAATTTGATAGCTCACTTTAATTATTTCAGCATCGGGTTCTTTTTACTGGCAATTAAATTTATTTTTAAACTTTTGGCAGTTAGGTAGGGAAGTTTTGTAAATACATGGTGCATTAGATTTTCCATTGCTATAGTGTACCTTTTAGATGTAATATTAGATTTTAGCGTTTCATGATTGCAGGAACACCTGAAACTCAAAATATATTGTACGATTCAAACATTGTTGACCAAAATTTATCTGTAATAAGTCTACACTAAATTGCAAACTGATAGAATATGGGTCAATATTGAACCAGTTTAATCACGGCTTATGTAGAATTTTCAATCAACACTTACATTGTCTACGGTAAAATACAATATACATTTCACTGTGAACCAGAGATGAGTTTAGGTTTAATGGAGTGTCACTCAAGTGAAATTTTTTTTATTTAAGAGTATTTGAATTATAACAATAAAAAAGAGATTTTTTAAAATCGGAATAAATTGCTAAGGGTCATTAATGGGGCAAAGGGTAAACACAAGGGGGGCATAAGCCCATTTATGTGTGCTAGTTGTAAACTACAATAAAAAAATTTTTAATCAAGAGTATTTGTTTCATAAAAATAGAAAATAGTTTTTTTAAAGTTAAAAAAAAAATGCTAAGGGTCACAAATGGGGCAAAGGGTAAAATTGAGGGGGACATAACCCCATTTTACCATTTTAGGTGCTCGTTAAATTTTTCTTTTAAAAATAAATGTCAAATAAGTTAAACAAAATATTAAGCAACAAAAAAAATTTAAAATTTTATAATATTACTGTAAATATTATACATGATCCAACAAAAAGTGAATAATTGTTTTTCCGGTATGTCAAAGTTAATGATAAATTAAACTCTTCTTCCATTAAAAGTAACATCAGAATTCTTCTTTAGGCTTAAAGCTTCTTTATGTGTGTTCAAAATTTAAAATAAACTCTTCATATTGTTGAGCAAACTGTCTTGAATAGACAGAAATTAGTATTCAAATACTACTTTACGTCTTAGTTTCCTCAGCATAGACCTATATTTTAGTGTATAAAATACATTAAAATAGTAAAAAACTCTTGTTTTGTTCTAACTTTTTTAAATAAGAACAAGTTATTATTTGCTTTATTAAAAAATTCTTTACTATTGAACCAAGGTTTCCATCCTCCAAGTTTGCTGAACAATTTATTGTCAGTTTTCCGAACAGTATGGGCTGTTTATTCTAGACTTAAATCTACACAGACTCAAGTTACACTTTTAAAAAAGCATACTCAATGCGTGAATCAACTTTGAATAAGCCTTAATGGAAGAAAAGTTTAATTTATCATTAACTTTGACATACTGCTCAAGACCCGGAAGAATTATTCATTTTTTGTTGGATTATGTAAAATATTTACAATAAATATTATAAAATTTGAAATTTTTTTTGTTGTTCAATATTTTGTTTAACTTATTTGACATTTATTTTACCTAAACTCATTTCTGGTCCACAGTGATTTAGTGTTGAAAAATCCATTTTCAATTTATAACTAAAAAACTAAAAACACTTCAAAACAAATTTGTGATCATTTTGGATTTGAAATAAACGCGTTGATTTAAAATATTGTCAAATCTTTTTCACTTTGACAATAAACACTACAAAAACGCAACGTTGTCAAAACAGTAAAAACATCAAAGCTCAGACATTTTCACTATTCAAAAAATTCATAAAAATAAATAAAAATTTATAAGAAAAACAAAATACATGAAATCGTAATTAGCAATATTAAAAGATAAATGATTATAAAAATAAGCATAAAATTTTTGTATCAATTTGATTGATTGATGAAATTATTCAAAAATAAATTCGACCAATTAAATATAATTCAGATTTGATTAAGCAAGAAAATCCTCATTAATGAAAACAAAAAACTTATTTATTATCAGAAGGTTATATTTAAAAGCATCATCATCTTAGATTGTTAGCATGTTAAAATTGCTAAGATCAAACAGGATTTCTGTATTCTCTGAAATGAAAAAATGCTTGAATCACCAAACCAACACATGCAAAGAACCCAAAAGCCTAAATTTTTAATAGAAAATAAATTATTAGTAAATATTTATTTTCCTGTAATATAATTGTTTACTTTTAGTTTTTAATTACTAAAAAAGGTTTTACTAAAAAAAGTTTACTTAATTACTAATTAATTACTAAAAAAGTTAATTACTAAAAAATTACTTACTAAAAAAGTTAATTACTAAAAAAGGTTTAAAATATACAACTTCCTTCCATTTTGCTGATGACACTAACTTACTTTTAATTAAAAAATCATTAAAAAAAATAAACAAATATATTAATCATGATCTATCTAATTTAATTCAATGGCTTTGATCTAACAAGCTGTCTCTGAATACTAGTAAAACTGAAATTATCATCTTTAAATCAAAGCAATCTAAAATCAGTAAACACCTAAATTTTAGGCTAAGTGGTCAAAAAATCAATCCAGTTATATACCTAAAGTATCTTGGAATCAAAATTGACTCAAATTTAACTTTTTCTCAACATCTTAAGGACTTGTCAATAAAACTATGTAGATCGAATGGATGTTAGCTAAAATTCGTCATTATGTCAATCTTGAAACTCTTATTAATATATACCATGCTATTTTAGGATCACATTTTAGGTATGCGTGTCAAGTTTGGGGACAAATCCACACCCAAGAAATTTTAAGATTATCCAACTTACAAAACAAAGCATCAAAAATAATATATTTTCAGCATTATCAATCTAACTCCGATCATCTTTAATTTTTATCCAAAATACTCAAAATTGATAATCTAGTTCAACTTTTAAATTGCCATTTTGTCTTTAATTATAAACAAAAATGTCTACCCAGCACATTTACAAATTTTTTTACTGTTAGAGAAAGCTGTCGCTATCATCTACGATCTGCTAATAGCTATAATCTTCATGTACCAAATCATTCTTCTGTAAAATATGGTCTAAAATTCATAAAATACCAAAGTGTAAAATCATGGAACAGTCTACCTTCACCATTAAAATCAATTGAGTGAATTACTAATTTCAAAAACTGTCTTTTTAACTATTTTTTAGCAAGATATTATACCTGAAGACTCTGAAATATGTTGTTATGCTTTAATTATTACTACTTTCTTGATACCTACTGGTTTTATTAATAACTTTTTGTTTTCATATTTTTTATTGTTATTATTAGTATTGATATTAATAATATTCTTCTATCTTTATTAGTAAATTGTAACTTTTATTTATAACATAATAAGTATTATTATTGCTTTTTTTAATTTTTTCTTAAGTTTATTTACTACTTATACTATGCAATTGTTATTATCACTATTATTGCTATTATTTAATATTGATTGTATAATATCTTTATTGTTATTGTTAGTATTGTTACTAATAATATTCCTCTTCATCGTCATCTTATTATTATTGTTAACATTATTTCTATAATTATTATCAATGCTATTATTATTGTTATTATGATCACTTTTACTGTAATGTTGCAGGTTTTTACTTTAGATTAGTACTTGTACTATTTGCAAAAATTCCCTGAAATTTTACAACTTATTTCAGAATATATTGAATTGAATTGTTTTGTTTCAATAGGTTGTTAAATTATTTGAAACTTTTGAAAACTGTTGTTACATTTTAAGTTATATTAGTTTTTATATTTTAATTTTTTTTACCGAAGCTGCACCAAGAGCATCAGAACCAAATCCTGAGGTTGTATTGTACTTTCGGGCATCATTTGCAACAATAATCGAAGATATTAGGAGCAAAATAATCCATATTGCGCAGTTCATACAAAGCTGTCAAAATAAAAATTATATAAATGCATAAATAATTGAAGTGTTAATTTACTTTATTTATAAAAGATGTTACATATTACACATTGCAGTCAAAAATATTCAAAATAAATGTAACAATTTATGTTTTCTTGACCACTTTCTATAAAGTATCATATGCATAGACTAAGAATTACCACTAGGAAATATTACTTAGTCGCGGAAGCTTTAAATTTATGTAATACAAAACATTTTTTTAAGGATACACACACATTTTAGTAAAACTTTAGGAAAATATATAATGACTCATTTAAAAAAAGCTTATAAAAAACTGTTTATTAAATTACAAGGAAGTTTAACATTAGGCTATTTTTGGGATACGTTTTGTAAAAGCAGAGTGCCGTTCGGCCGCAGAAAGTGACCGCAAAAAGCACCTTTATATTCTACACTGGTTGGTGTAATAACCATAAAAAATCATACTTTATGATAGGGCGGGACGTGTTGAACAATTTTTATTAAATAGACCTTCTTAACAGTAAGTCGGATATACTAATTTTTTTTAATCAATAACTCAATTTAATCTGCTAAAAATTGTTTAATAAAAAAAAGGTTTTTTGAGTTGTTTGTGAAGATATTATCCTAAAAGTTATCAAATTTCTTCACCTGCCCCAGCGGGGCAGATTAATCTATATATTTTAATTTCTTGTTGCCAAAAAATATGCTTACAGTGTTGGTTTGCAGCATCCATAAATGATATGAAAAGCTTATGATTTATTTTGATCACCCATTTTTATTTCAAATTATGCTATACGTGCAAAAAATTACTTATTATAGAACATTTAAAATTATTGTTTGGCATTTGGTTCTTTGCATAATTTTCAATAAAAATTTATTGAATGACAAGCAATAGAGAATAAATTTTAGTATATGGTACAAGAGACGAATGCACTTTAGAGCATCGACCATTGTAATAGTTATAGAAAAAAATATAGAGAAGCAACAAAAGAAAGCTATTTTGTGCAGGTCAAAAGGTTTTATTTAAAATTAATTATTCAAATGATATGTAAATTTAAAAAATTTTTATGTAAAAGATTCTTAAGATAGTAAGAATAATAAAAAATCTTTCAAGATCATAAATATAATAGCTTCATAAAAAGCACTAACACAACATGATACAAAATGAATATGGTCTAGTTCTTCACTGCATGTAACAAAATCAATATGATCTAATTCTTTATATATATATATATATATATATATATATATATATATATATATATATATATATATATATATATATATATATATATATATATATATATATATATATATATATATAGATAGATATATATATATATATATATATATATATATATATATATATATATATATATATATATATATATATATATATATATATATATATATATATATATATATATATATATATATATACAGGACACCCTGGATGGTGACTGAGCCAAGAACCAACTTCCTAAACTTATTATACATTGAGGCTTTAAATGCTTGCAATTTGTGCGTAAATGATGAAATTATAACATTTTTCTAGCTAGGTTATTAATACTGAGATTTTTTCTAAAATTCGAAGAACATATTTTATGTATGTAGCTGGACTGTTTGTAAATAATAATTAAACCATTTTCCAAAACTAGGGGAGAGTGGGGTACCGTGACAAACTTTTCGTTTTTATTTTGTAATAATTTTTTTAATACGTCATTTTTTTAGGCAATTGGTTTAATTTGTAGAATAAATTTATACCCAAAACATAAATTTTATAAAGTACCAAAATATAGCAGTATAAACTTTTGAAAAAAATATAAATTTGTGAGACTAGTTTAAATAAAATAAGAAATTCGTTTCAAGATACTCCACCCATGGGGTACTCTGATACACACTACGAGCATTGTTAAAAAAGTAAATAAAAAGTATAAAACATTGAGAAAAGGCGGATTTTTATTTGAAATATAAAAAAGTTAATATTTGTAACCCAAATAATGCAACCTATGGTCCAAATCACTTTTCAAAAGACAAGATAATACATCATTTTAAGTAACATTCTTAAAATTCAATAAATAATGGCTTCGAACCGAAATAGGATCTCCTTGTATTAAATTTACATAAGTTTTTTTAAAATTGACTATAAATATTAAAATTAAATGATTTTTAGAATTGTTTATGACACAAGGGAGAACAACATCACAGTTTTAGAGCCCACCATAAATGATGTATCAAGTTACCCTATACTTGCTAATAGAAAATAGTCGCTTTATTTTTAGTATCAACTTTTTTTTCAATGATTTTATTTAATGAAGTAAAAAGCCTATGGATTGTAGTTTTTAAAACAATGTTACTTACGAATAGACACATTGAATAAAATACATTTAAACTTATGAGATTTAAAAATTAGAAAGCTATTTTGTTATCAATGAACACAAATTTTGACCCCTGGCAGGACTTATGATGTCAAATTTTAATTTTTTTTCAAAACATTGCTTTAGTAGTAACTGTTTCACTATATAAAAGTGGTTGTCACAACTCTTAAGATCCACAATTGCAATGTTTCATGGTGACCCATGTCTTAAGGCCAATTTGGCTGAAGATTACCGTTAGTGAAACAAAAATTCTACTTACTAATTAGCAACTTAATATCATGCAACAATACTATTATTTAATAATTAGCAACAACTGAGTTCTTGATCTCAGGTAAAGCCCAAATACAAACTAATACAATAACAATTTCTGGTAATAAAAAAAATCTTCAGAATAAACTTAGACATCTAGGATTCACATGGGATACTAAACATTCAGTTTTTGCTTCACTCGGTTATTCAAATGTTGATGAAAAAATATCAAACTTTAGAGCTGTTGTTCAAACTCTTATTCAATCTGGAATCCGGTTTGCCCACCCCAGTTCTATTTCCTATATATATAAATCATTGGCAGTCCCTACCTTAACTTATGGTATGGAGCTATGTGAAAATAATCCTGGTCTGATGAAAAAGCTAGATATAATTGGAAGGAGTGCGCTAAAATCGTTTTTAAATGTTTCGAAACATAGTAAAAACTATATGAATTCGTTATTTAAAATCCAGGAAACTTCAAAAAGTGTTCAACAAAATAAGTTAAACTTGTTCCTTCAACTTCTTAATAACAAAACAACTGCAGACATTATCTTTTCACAACTGCAACACCCGTTATTTCAACATTCGTTTGTTAGTGATATTCAGGAACTATGCTGTCTTCAGATATTAAATTTTCAAAACCTAATTCAAAATAAAAAGAAGGTAAAAATACCACTTTCTAAAAGTAAAATTCCTTCCGAAGTTGAACGAAACTTGAAGTATGCAATAGAGTGCTGGAATGCAAAAGAGCAAAGAGGAGTTTTCAAGTTTTCAATTCAATTGCCGTAATTTAAATTTTTTATCAGGGATGTACAGGAATTCCGATCCGACCGAAATTCCGACCGGAATTTATGACTTCTAAGTCATTCCGATTCCGGCCGGAATTATTTTATTTCGGACCGAAATGGCGAAATTTATTTTTTACTTAAATTAAAGGAAAATAAAATTTTTTACTTTAATTAAAGACATGTGACACAGACTGTGTAAATTAAATCAAAGAATCATTGTCCTACTGAGCAATATAGAACTATAGGTCAACCTAGGTAAAAAATACAAAATTTATAACAAATATAATGTAATTTTAGGTAGAGCTACAATTTAGCGCTCTAAAATAATTTTATTTTTTCGCTTGTTGCGCTCTCGTTAGAGGAGAGTTTTAAAATATTAGATAATTTATTTTTTTCATCGACTATCTTATAGCAGCAGGGTATAAGATTTTATGTTTATATTTAAAAGTTACCACTTTGAGCGAGCCTCCACACGAAAGCGCTAAAATAAGCGATAAAATAGAATAATTCTAGACCACATACCTGTAGCTTTGCCAAATTTTATTTTCAGTAATCACTAATGTAAAAATTTCTAAAAAAGATATATTGCATATATGTATATATATAATATATAAATAATATATATATATATATATATATATATATATATATATATATATATATATATATATATATATATATATATATATATATATATATATATATATTATATAGGGGTGCCATAACAAAAGTTGTTATGGCACCCCTCACGTGACACCTGCTCGGGCCGAATCACCGATGTGATTATATTATTATCAAATTAATATAATCACATCGGTGATTATATTAACTTAATATCGTGACCAATACTTAAAAAGTTCCCGATGGATTGACCCTCTGGTTTGTTCAAATACAAGTCCTAGTTCATAATCTGATTTTAGTTCAAAAAGGCATTAAACAATGTATTTAAGTATTACGTGCATTTTTAGAGTTTCAGATAAATCTGTTGCCTGAAACATTATTTTCAAAACTTGCAGGCAATGAGATAAATTGTGAGAAACCTTTCTAGTTCCAAAATAACATTTGACAACATTATCCATTGCTTTTAGCAATGAAACTAAAAGTAACAACCATAATGGGCTAACTTTACCAAAGACAAAAAGTTTATCTGCATGTTGAAGTATCTTACGACATACGTTGCCTTCAAAACCTCACCCTAGACAAAAATTACGAATTAACTAATTTTTATGTTAAATAGAAAAAACTGTTTCTAAATTTATTATCAAATTCTCACCTAGTAATTTTCTACAATCAGTTTCAACTTTAAGGGCTATAGCATGGCTTTTTTTCTGCGTAAAAATGGCAAAATTTCCTTTCAAAAAAAATGGTTGACAAATCCTTGTATTGAAGGTAATTCAGGCATTTAGCTATAACTAACATAGAATCTGGTTTGTTAAAAAGTAGAAGATTCACTGTGTTCATTGTGTTTAGGGCATCTTCTTTTTTTTTACTCCTAATGGCTGAAACCTAATAAAGTATTTATTAAACATATTTGGTTTATCTTCGTCCGGCTAGTTGCCATATAGAGGCAACATTATCATGGCCCTTATAGACA